TGACTAAGACACTTTCTTTTTATTCTTTTTAGCTGTTGCATACTATTCCACAGTATCAGTATACCTATAGTTACTTATTTAGGTGGTTTTAATTTTTCACCATAATCAACCCCTGCTTGATGAAGAGTCTTGAAAAATCTTTCATAGAGTGAATTCTTCTAAGTAAAAAATGCAATTCCATTCACCTTAATGGAAAAAATGTTTATATTTTTCTAAGCCTCCAAATCATATCCATTTGTCCTACAACATCAAATACCATTAAAATGGACACAATTATTTCTGTAGTTAACATCTCGTAACATAACTCAACCAGACATTTTCTCATTAACTGCCCTATAATATGGCTGTTTCCATCCTCTCATTCAGTATTCACAGATCATACACTTAAGACTTTGATGTATTTGTTCATTCAGCAAATGATTACTGAGCACCTACTAGGTGCCAAGCAACAGCATTGGGTCCTGGCAATATGGTAACAGACAAAAAAATCTGTCTTGCGGAATTTACATTCTAGTGCAAGAGATAGATAATAAACAAGTAAGATACAAAGGATGTTAGCTATGATACATCCTGAGGAGAAAAAAACTGCAGGGAAAGGGAATATGAAATATTGGGAAGGTTGCAATTTGAACTGGAGAGACCTCACCAAGAAGGTGGCTTTTGAATAAAGACCTGGAAGAAGTGAGGGAGGGAGCTGTGAGTCTGCCGGAAACAAAAGTATCCCACACATCTGTGACGGAGATGCCCTCCAGGACCAAATAATTCTTTCTGACGGAAATGGCCAAAGTCTTTCTGTCCAGCAGTCCATCATTTGGTTTCTTGTCCTTTATCACATTTCTTAGCTGTGGGACTTTTTTTTTTTTTTTGCAAAGATAGCAGGCTAGAGCTTTCCTGCAGAAGTGTCAAAAAAGGCAATCGTTGTTTTCAATGAGAAACGGATCATTCAACATGAGGTTTATAACATGAGGGAGAATGGGATGTATAGGTTGCCCATCTTCTCTTGGGATCAGAGGCATCAGCAGGAAAAATGTGGTTAGGCTTCTGACAGGGAGATTTGTGGAACAATTTATCTCTGCCTGAAGCCACAGGATAGGAAGAGGAGAGCCCAGGTATTAGCTGGAGAAGGACTCAACCCAAGGGAAAATGTCCTTTTTATGACCAGGTATCTGTCCGTGGGCTCTGTCCAGTATTTTATATACTGCCTGGACATAAATCCTAGCTCTTCCAATTATTCGGTGGATAAGCATAGAGATTATTGAACCTCTCTGAGCTTCATTTTTTCACCTGTAAAATGGGTATAATAATAGTAGCTATCTCATAAGATTGACAGTGGGGATTAAATGAGATCACAGATTTAGAGTGTCTGGAACATAGTAAGTACTCAGTAAATAAGAATGCCACCTCCATCACCGTCATCATTATTTGGGTTTCATAGGGAACAGCATCAAGGTCAGAGGCAAGAAGGCATTATTCAGTACATCTTTAAGATATTTATTAGTTTCTCACAGCACCTGGTACTGAAGATTCAGCTAAATGGCTGCCTAGATAAGTTGGTAATCTTCAAGACAGGGAGAACATAAAAAAAAATCCCTATGCTCCAGGCAGGTGGTAGAGGGTTAAGGATTTTCAGGAAGGGTGGTGATTTACAAATGGGTTTCCCTGGCACCAGGGAAGGGGGCGGGGGAGGAGGAGGAAATGGAGCCATTTTAGGCGTATCAAAGGCACCTGTGAGACAGGAGGCTGGGTTGATGGCCAGGAAGCTGCTTGATGTAAATGTCTGTGAAGAGGTGATGTGGCCAGCCTGGGGTGAGAATCATCCAGGGGTGACCTTGCATGGCTTCATTCTGTGTCTCTTTAGTCCCACTTTGTTCTCAGTTGCATGGAAACAACCAAAGCTGACAACCAAATCTTTCAGCTACAAATCCACCTCACCGCGTAGAGAGCTAAACATGTAAGTGTTCGGATGTCTCTAAAAATAACACATGACGTTTCTTTTTTGTTTGGAGGCTGTGTGTAGTACTTTAAAATACGCTGGCTAGTCAGGTCCAACTGCCCTGGGTTTGAATCCTGGCTCTGTTTCACTAGTTGTGTAACGTTGGATGAATTCTAGAATTTCTCTGGGTCCCAGCGTTCTCATTCGGGCCGTGGAGATTGTAATAATATCTACCCAGTAGTGTAATTATGGAGATGAAATGGGACAATGCTCATAAAATACTCAGCACAGTGTCCGGCACATAGTAAATACATATTAATTATTATTATTGAAATCTTTTGGATGGATTGTTTTCTGAGGAGATCAACGGGGAAAGGGTAGTATCATCAGAAAGAAAGGGGAAGGGAAGAAAAGCTGTAGAAAAGAGAAGCAGGACTGTAAAGGCTGATCCAGGAAGAGAGGCACTTATGAACTGTCAAAAAAAAAAAAAAAAATCCTGAGAGAGAAAAAGGATAACATGGCAGGGACTCAAAGGCAGAGAGAGGCTTAGCTTTGCTTTTTGCCAGGGTTCCATCCATCTGGTCTTGGCTTCTCTGCTGGCTTTTTCCTCCAAATGATAGCTCCAGAAGCCCAGCGGTGAAACCCAGGGCAGGGAGATAGATCATTTCTGAATCACCCCAAATTCTGCACTCAGGGGAGGCATATAAAAAATGTACATATTATTCTTTTGCAGTATAGAATTCCCCTGAGACTAATAGAAGAGACAGGCCTGTCAAGTGAGTCAGCAGTGACCACAGGCAGACATAATCCCATTGCTTTTTGGCTGACAACTCATGCAGAGGGAAATATTCTCTGATCCAGACAAAGGTAAATGTGGCTTAAATCCCCACACAAAATTCTAACCGTAATTCTCTTCTATCCCCAGTCGATGATGACCCCAGATGCCAGAAATATCAGAAACACCATCTCTGCATTTCTTACTGTTGGGTTGTAATAATTTAGTCATTGCTAAAGGTAAGATTCTCAAAGGGTAGGATAACTCATTATTTTCAGATCTAAGCAAAAAAAAAAGAAAAAAAGAACAGAGTGATGTGTTTCCTCAGATTTGTTTAATAGCGGGTATCGTAGCACAGACTATTACGGGGGAACATACAGAAAATGAGCACAAACCTGAATAAGTTATGAGCTATCTAGAAGAACAAAACACATGGTGAACCACATGGTTTTTTTTTTTTCTTTTATGTGAATGAAGGGTGGCTGGTCTGGATCCACTCCTATGGCTTTTTGAATTCTAATCAATTATAAAAACAAGGCAAAATTGCAGTTCTAAAACAGATTGTCAGTATGTCCTCCTCTGATGTGCCTTCACAAACACAGTCATTTAAGAAACCAGGTTGAAGTCTGGATCTGAGTTATCAGAATGTAGGCTATGCTTAAGAGGAAGATCAAAGGGCAATTTTCACATTACAAAAATTAGCTTAATGCTGAAGAATAATTGCTCTTGTAAAATTAAACATGGATTGAAATCATGTATTATGATCCACCCCATCTGTTTAGCATACACTTTATCTATCTATCTATCTATCTATCTATCTATCTATCTATCATCTATCTATATCTATCTATCATCTCTATCCATCTATCATCTATCATCTCTCTCTATATATATTACATATATTATATATTTAGGAAAGAAGAGAAATATGTTTATTTTACATTTTTGCTAAATTACTTTCCTAAGACGTAATTCCAAGACCTCTGGGATGCCTTTGATTGAAATCCACCTGTTTTTGTTTCTAACTTAAGTGCAGCGTGGCCAGCCTGTGTAGAAGGTGACTTTCCCGGATAGGTGAGCTCCTGGGTCAGCTGACGTCTACAAAGCACAGAAAAGCTCTCCTTTCTGCATTCAGACTTCTACCCTATATTTAGCACTTTCCTTTAGCCCACCCAAAGCCGATGCTTCTCCATCCCCTCCGAGTTCTGCTGCTAAGGTCCCTGGTTCCTTAGTTGGTGTTGCTGAGGCTCCTGCCACCGCCTCAGCTCAGCTGGTCACACTACTCATTTAATCATGAGCTTGCAGTGCAGCCCAGTGTGAGACCCAGAGAGAAGACAGGATTCTGTTCTCAGTGGGATAGAATATTTAAGCTTAGGCCTCTGCTTTAAGATTTGGGACTCAATTTTACCCTTTAGAGCCATATGTATCAATACCCCAAGGCAATTTTTTTCTGGGATGCATTTTGCTTTGAATTGGAAATATGCTTTTGATGTTTTTTTATTTAATAAGGCACAGGCCCAGGACTACATTCATTATTTAGACTAGAACTTATTTTGCACTTGATGTAAGAAAAAAAGCTGCTACACTTGTTCAGGGTAATGGCATAGAGTGAAATGAAACCAATTTATGTAAAGGATTATTGAAGGAATACAAACCTTCCATAGTAAGCCTGCTAAATCATTCATTAAGTGATTGACATTTGCCCAGATTGGGATCGTGGGCTTTGCTTGGTTTTAAAGGAAAGCAAAGAAGCAATTATTTAGAAGTGAACATGAAAACCAGCATTGAAAGAGAGCGATCCTGGAGGGTGGATATATTTTAAGTGATTATTCTCTCTTAAATAATGTAATTCACAGACCATTGGGCTCGGCCCCAGTAATCATCTCTCAGCCTGTTTCTACTTGGCAACCTTTGATATTCTATCATTAAAACATATGTAAATGCAATGTAAATAATGTCAACTACATTTTTAAAGGATAATTATCTCTTATTCTTCTACAGATTCCTATTTCATTTTATGATTAAAAATGTTGCTATAAACTAAATGGGTGCAGTTGGGCTTAAAGTCTATTTCTGGGAATCCAGCTCTTGAAACTACTCATTCCTGTTACATTTCCAGTTAATATCTATAAATCCATCCGACGCTAAAAAATCTGATGTGAAGAAATTGTAAATCTAAGTCCTTTCCTCTGCTCTAGACATAATACGTCCAAAATTTACAAAGAGGTAAATGCAACATTTTCATCAGTTAATTGTTCTCTAAACTTAACATCAGGAACATTTCAGGCAATCAAGGAGAGGAAAAAAGAGCATCTTTAATTGATTCCTCAGAGAGTTCTTTTCCAGATTGTAAATCATTGTTCTTATGTTTTCTATTTGGTTGTTTCAGGAGCTACACAAATGAAATACAGGATGCAGATGAATAAAATGCTAACAAGATACAGGGCAATATTAAAATGGTCCCACTTTACCTGGATCGGATAACGACAGTCTACTCCATCAGAGGAATAAAAGCAAATGTCAAGGAAGGATTTTTACCCTTACAAAAGTACATGCTTCATTTGCCTTGGAGAGAGCCATGGGGCAAGACATCTTGTGATGAGGCTTGTAGGGATGCAGAAGGGGCTCTGAAATAGGAGCTGGATATGAACCCCCACCCGGAATGAACGAATGAACTTAGCGAGCTCGTGAGAAGCACCCACTGTCAGTGCCTCTCTTGGTTTCAGAGGCTCCTCGACAGCCTCTCATGGATCAATATACCAGTCAGTCAACCCACACATCAGTATTTTCCGCCCTTTAGAATTAATGATGGTATTTACCATTAGTGAGTGTGATCTGTGAATTTATAGAATATCTTGCCTCAGATTGAAAGATGTAGTCGGGGGGTCTGCTGTGTTAAGATCCCTTTAATTTTCTATTTGAATGTCTCCAAGCTTTGTAATTATGTGATCATGTACTTATGGTCATAATGAGTCAAGTTTAAACTGGATTCTCTTCAGTACCCCTTTTTCATATATATTTTCACCCCATATATAAAGTTTGGGGTCAAAAAGTCCAGGGCGTGTTGAAAAATACAATAATACATTGAAGGGCAGAACATTAAAAAACAAAAAACCACTAGTTTACCTTGCTCTTCAAATTTTTTAAGGTTTAGAAAATTTATTAGTATTTTTAAGCATTTTAAGAATTATTCTAAACCATCTTCTGGAGTATTTGTCTAGGGGCACCTGGCTGGCTCAGTTGGTAGAGCGTACAACTCTTGATAGCAGGGTTGTGAGTTTTGAGCCCCCGGTTGGGTGTAGAGATTACTTAGAATGACTGTCTTTACTGGGTTGAGATCATGTTCCTTTATTGTGAGCACACAGTAGAAGCTCGATGAAAGCTTCTTTTCAGAATGAGTTACTATAAAGAAATACTTACGTTTCTCTTTTACCATAATAGGTACTATCTATAAGTAGTGTTATCTTTGCCTATGATATTTATATAACAAAACCAAGTTCAGTATAAGAATTGACTTAAAGTAATACTATAAAGAATGGGAACTTAAAGGTGGGAAATTAAAGGATTAAAAAAAAGTCTCGGATCTGCCCATGAATTTCTAAATATAGCATGCTTGGCCAGGAAAATGGAAATGAATATTGGTGAATGAACTTCAAATGAAAGGCAATTATCAGTATAAAGCCATGTCAATTTAAATTAACATAAAGAAAACACAACTATTTGTAAAACCACCATATACATTAAGAGACAGGATACTCTCTCTCAACTTGCATTCTCCAGACTGTCTATGCAAAATTGCCTGTAGAGTCCTCCAAGGGGCGTCTGGGGCCAGATGCGTAGAAAACATCCCCGGAAATGGTATTAGCAAAGCAATGTGGCCTGCCCTCCTCTTTAACCAGACGGAGTCGGGCCAGGTTCCGGCTGAGCTTCTGAACAACCCGTCCGGATACATGAAACCTGCAGCACAGGCAGCAGCAGCTGGAGGGCGTCCTGGATGTACGTGGTGCTGTTGCAGCCCTGGGAGGAGGGAGACACATGCTTGGAGGGCTGCCTTCAGGGTTCAGGCCTGACAATTCTTCCCATCTGATAACGGTCCCTCTCTTCAAACCTCACAGTATTTTATAATACGCTCCCTTTAATGTTGGTGCTTAAAGCAAATGTAAACACATTCCTTCGGGTGGAATGCATTCAGCTCTTCAACAGAGAGAAGACTTCTCTCCCCACGGGGCAAGTCATTTCCATAGACTTGGAGGGTACAGCGATATGTGTGCATGCATGACCCAACATGTCTGGTCGTACCCATCCTTCTCCCAGACCAACCCCACTGTCCTGAACTAACCCAAAAGCACAGTGTGCAGGGAGCTCTAGCGTGTCTTAACCTAGAGGTGAATAAACAAGCATGGGATCCATAAAGGGAACTGGAGATATTATTGTGCAATTATTCACAGCCAATCCTTGAGGGCTGTCCTCCTCCTGTGCATGTTGGTACCTTCTCCTTGGTTTGGGTATTCGATGTTGCCATTCGTGTTCTGTGGTACCCTAACATACAGCAGTGCACAAAGGGGCCATTTAATGTTTCAGGTCACCAAGTCATAAGAAAACTCCCACTGGGGAAATGAATCAACATTTGACCACATATTCTTCACGATCAACATAGTAAGTGAATCTGTGGATGCCTTCTGGGTGGCCGGGAGAGACACTTTCTTGTTCCACAGTCTGCCTCTGACTGCCTGGCTTTCCTCTTAGCTGGGTCCTCCAGAGCTTGCCTCCTTGTCCCTGATGGTTGACCTCACCCCCCTGCGTGGCGGTGTCCTAAATGGTGACACCTGATGCCACCGCTTTGTTACTTTTGTACCTTGGTTGTTTTCCTTAACAGTAAGGCACAATTCGCACAGACATCACTGTAAGTATATAAGTAGCCTTCCCTGACTTGCATTTGGTAATTTCTAAACTCGGCAATTGACAGCTACTCCAGTGTATGTCAAAAACTGCTGGATATGCATTGCCCGTGTTCAAACTTCACCTGTGAACACCTGTGGTTGCAGCTGGGCGCCCTGGGGCTATAGATGTGCCAATTCCTTATAGTGAGGCCCCTCCTGGAAGGTCTTCCTCCACTAGTCACAGGCGGAACACAGCAAGAATGAGGCCTCCCAGGCCTATTTTCTTCTCTCTTAGGTTACTACCTCTGGCAAGACCACAGCGGTCTGGGGACAGCTTCATAGCAGTGTTACCGAGTCCCAGCGAGCCGGCAGGCCATGGACTGAGTGGTCTCTGAGGACAGAGCCTCTGGTCACTGAACAGGCAGAGGCTAAACAGTCAACTGGTCGACACTGCTAGTCTGAAGCTTAGACCCAGCTAAACCAAAGGTTCTCTTGAATGGAGAGAAGTGCCCATTTTTACAAAAATCACCACTGAGCAAGAAGCCCTCGTTGCAGCCGCTAATCACAGTGTTAAATCTGGTGTCAAACTTGGCAGCAGAAATGTGCTTCTGCCGGAGGAAACAGCAACAGAAATAACGTGCAAGCTTAGCATTTCTCTTTATAATCAGGAATTCTTGAAAATTAGGGATTGTTGTTTCACCCAAGGGTTTAACAGCTGGTTGGGCTATACACATGTACTCAAAAAAGACTGTTGATGGTAAGATTTAGAATTGCTATAACACTCGCTGCCTGGGAAAAAGACAAAAAAAAAAAAAGTAGCTCTAACATTTGCTTTGATTCAGAAGCACTTTCTCTCTGGGGGCCACTTACCTCTAACAAGACACTATTGATCATGGGGTTAAGGACCTCAGCCTTCTTGTCGCTCTGTGGAATCAAAAGGATGAAATTGACAGATTAGGTGCTCATACTGCAAGGCTTGCCACGTCAAATGTCATATGCTGGCTTTGTTGAGGGATCTCTTAAAGAGGAAGGAGAGGAGAAATGGAATGCTTATTATAGACCAGGCTTCACATTTGGTGCTTCTTCTATATAATCTCATTTAATTTTGACCGAAATCCTAGTAGGTAGGGAAGTACCATGATATGATAACCTTAATTTAGAGATAAGAAACTAGAATCAGGAAGGTTGAGCAACTTAAGGTCACATAGCTAGAAATTTAAACAGATGTTTTTAAGTATTGAAAGCTTGTAGCACGTCTGGGATTACGGAGGGGTGAGTGAGGCTGAGTCGTACAAATACAGGGTTGGGTCCTGTCTCTACTGAAAATGTTGATATTTTGTTCATCATGATCTTCTCGCATTCATTTTCATTTTTAAAATTTTACATTAAAATATCTATCTAGCTGACTGATGTTGTTTCTTTGTTTTTTTTGGGGGGGGTGGCTGGGGGCAGGGTAAGCTCTTAAATTTTGCGGGTGAGTTAAGTACTTTACTGGCCCACCCTAGTCCCAGCCCCAGTCAGTAGCCTCATTTTCTTTCTTGTTTTAAATGCAAACATGGGTACTTGGTCCTAGGGTATGTCTTCCAGATCAGTAGCAAAAATAACACATTTTTTAAAAAGATCTTTGTCTTAATTCTTTTTTTTAATAAAAAGATTATTTATTTTAGAGAGAGGGGGAAAGGGAGAGAGCGCACTCTCTCTTTCATGCCGGCAGCAGGGAGGGGCAGAGGGAGAAGACAGAAAATCTGAAAGCCGACTCCCTGCTGAGCACAGAGCCCAACATGGGACTCCATCCCAGGACCCTGAGATCATGACCTGAGCTGAAATCAAGAGTCTGATGCTTAAATGAATGAGCCACCCAGGCACCCCCAAATTAAATTTAATATCACTTCCAGACAGATCTGAAGATTCCAGTTTGCAAAACATGAATATATGTAAAGCACAGAGATACAGAGCCTGAATTAAGTAGGTGTTCAAAAAGTGAGAGCTAGTGTTAGTATCATTATTATTATTTCCACTATAAGTCTATCAATCAACAGTCTTCTCTAAGTGCTCACTTTACTCTTAGACAATAAATAGTTAAAGGGCCTGGAAAGAGAGAGGGCAAGTTTAATAGGCTGGTGTTCCTTATTGTACCAAGACGACTTTATGGTAAACAAAAGTATATAGATGGAATCATATCTTTCCAGAGCAACGCATTTTCACTGACACTACTCTACTGAGGGCAAAGTAATGTCTTACTGGGGAAACCACAATGGAGTCTTGGGGAAAAACTCTTTAAAAACCCAGTCATTTTAGTAACTAACCAGAAAATCCATTATGGTATTTGCTTTCATGTTTATTTGATTATCAATAAACCTCTAAAATACAATCAAAATGAGGGCAATAAAATGACATTGGTTTTCAGAATCAATGAGATATGCATGCAACTTAAATGGAGTCTGGAGAGTGATATGCACTCATTAACTTCAAGTTATGAATAATGGCTATTTCAGAGAACAGAAACTCGATGTAAATGATTCATCTTAGCACAAGACCAGGGGGATTGTTGTGACGGGACGGCATTTCAGTAAACTCTGTTTAGCTTTAGCTTTTTCCTTCTCCAAAGTGGTAACCCGTGTCTTCTGGGTTTTGTGCACACAAACATCGGTACGCATGTACGATATACCTAGGTGTGCACACAGGTGTAAGTGCAGGTGCACACCCAGTTGCTAGAGCCTTGCTACTCAGAATGTACTCTGTGGATCAGCAACACTGTTACTGAGAACTTATTAGATGTGCAGAATCTCAGTCCTCATCCCCGGCCTACGGGCTCAGAACCTGCATTTTAACAAGTTCTTCAGGTGATGTGCCTTCACCTTCAGGTGTGAGAAGCACTGTGCTGGAAGACAATAGGTCAAAAAAAAAGGGAAGCAATACTGTGAATATTACCCACGAATGTAAATAAATGGATGTCCAACATAAACCATAGATAACATATAACACACACACCTAAAGACATATACATCCTCATCCCTAGATAGCCACAGAGAAACAAACAGTTGGCCATCTGTCTGGCGGGCAGCCACCTGGAGGTGAGAGATCAATTGAGAGGCCTGGGGGCATTGGTCACCCCTTCGGGCCTCAATTTCCCACCTAGTGAACCGGGGAAAGAGTGAGAAGAGGGTACAGAGAGCCTTGGGAAGCTGGGTGGCTGAGGCCATCTCATCCCGATTAAGACCTCGCACATCTCTGTAAGCCTGGCAGTTACACCACAGTCCACAGGTGTCGGTTACTCAGACAACACTGAGCACACAAACACGTTTTATCAAGCCTATCGTATCAATGAACTTCTCTCTCTCCCTTCACTCTTCCTACATACAGTGAAGCTCTTACTGTGGAAGCCCCCAAATTATACAAGTGTGAAAGCTCATGCTTTGCAAAATAGGAGAAACAAACCAGATGCCTTGACAACAGAATGAATAGGTGGTAGGTAGTTCAGCCCTAATTAGTCAAGTCACTTCTCTGCTGACCAAGTCACTTCTCTGCTGACTGGTCTATAGTCATTTCCACTTCTTTTGAGAACTGCCCTTGGCCTTGGTGGGGAGGGGGGTGGGGAAAGTGCGCCCCAACAGCCGGGCAGGTCTGCATGATATGATCCTGCCCCAGTCGCTACAGGTGATACCAGGTGGACATGTGACCTGCACTGACGAGCCTTGCAGGCTTCTCACTCACGAACCCCGAATCCGAATGGAAAGACATGGGGTTGGGAAGTGCTACAACTCGGTCACATGAATGGCAACACTTTGGAGAGAGAGGGTATTTGTATCCTGGTGCTGGGTCCCCACAGCTGCTCACATTGCTCTACCTCCTTTAATAAAGTCCCTTCTCTGGGTCGATTATGTAGAGCTTGTTTCTGGTCCTTCCTGTTAAAGGCTGAATTGAGTCCTCGCAGAAAAGATATAGTGCAGTCCTAACCTCCAGGACATGGGAATGTGCCCTTACTGGGAGGCAGGGTCATCGCAGATGTCCTGAGTCAAGATGACGTCACACCGGTCATACCCGAATTCCATACAGATGGTGTCCTTATCAGAGAGAGAAATCTGGACACAGGCACAGAGGGAGGATGATGTGAAGACAGAGAAAGAGCTTGCAGTTAGGCAAAGCACGCCTGGAGCCACGGCAGTTGGCAGAGGCTCCTTGAGAGGGTGCCTCCGACACCCTGCCTTCAGCCTGCCCGCCTCCAGAACCCGGACGTGACACAGCTCGCAGTACCCGAGAAACAGGCCCCGACGGACACAGGAAATCGAACGTGCTCTTCCTCACGGCAAGATCTGCCCTTGAGTTCAGGGCCTTAAGAGAAACAGTAGAAAGGTTAAAAAGGAAGAGTTTCCACTTGTCTTCCTGATGCCACTAAGGTGGGGTTATATAATGTGAGTGGCCTCTGAAGAAAATAACCAGAAGCCGCACCTCCGAACAGACGCCGAACCTTTCAAAGTTGTTCCCTTGAGAACAGAAACACTTATGCGAATTGGTACAATTTTTTTTCTTTTGGTTACAGTTGAAGTGTAATCATAAAGTAAAGAAACCTCTCACCTTGGGTGGTGTATATACGACAGGTTCTGAGGGCAACAGTGAATGCGAGCATTCAAAATTATTTTAATAGAGATTCTTGAATTATAGGTCACAGATATTAATTAATGAAAGGAACTTCCATTTGACTTCTATTTATTTATTTGAGAGAGAGAGAGAGAGAGAGCAAGAGCTGGGCGGCGGGGAGGGGCAGAGGGAGACAGAGAAGCAGACTTTCCGCTAAGCAGGGAGCCTGACTCGAGACTCGATCCCAGGACCCCGGGATCATGACCTGAGCCCAAGGTAGATGCTCAACCAACTGAGCCACCCAGGCGTCTTTGACTTCTTTTTAAACAAATAAAGAAAATGAGGCCCAGAGATGTTTCAAAACCCACCTATTATGTTGTAAGTCGGAGATGGCAGTGTCAGGACTAGAACCCAGTCGGGTGAGAGCCCGAGGCTGCCTGTCCTGACAAGGTGCTCCTGGTCTGGTTTCAGCAGACATCATGGCGCAGCTTCCGTTTACCGAGCTACCAGAGAAGGCACTGCAACCTGCACTTCTCCTCACACTTCCTCACAGACCCATCTTCCATAAAGGGTGGAAAAGAGAATCGATATTAGAAACTTACCCCAACAGTGGTTAAAGAATTTGTAAACTTCTTTGATAAGGAGGCCACTTCTTTACACATCGCAGTAGTTAATCTGAAAGAAAAAAAAAAAAAGTGGTTTGAGGATTTTCCATCAGATAAAATAATTTAACCATCAAGACAATGACTGGTATTGATACCATATTCCATTTAAAAGAATACACACAAGTTTGAAGATGCTCTGTAGAAATGGGGTTCCTCAACAATCTTCCATGATTCACAATCACCGTTGAATCGAATCCTGGTTTTCTCTGCAGGCGTAGTTAATGAATAATCACCTGATTCACCCTACTTCTTTTTAGAATCAAAAGCATATGCAGGAAAATTTGAGGCTTGAGCTCCATATGTTTAGAGGTGTAAGCCTCTTGCCAAGTGGTTTTTCTCTAGCTTTCTGGTCATTTTGAAATAATAATGAGCATTCACTGAGGTACTATGTTAAGTACTTTATTTTTTTTTTTAAGATTTTACTTATTTATTTGACACAGAGAGAGAAAAAGCGCACAAGCAGGGGAAGTAGCACAGGGAGAGGGAGAAGCAGGCTCCCCGCTGAGCAGGGAGCCCGATGCGGGGCTCGATCCCAGGACCCCGGGATCATGACCTGAGCTGAAGGCAGATGCTTAATGACTGAGCCACCCAGGGGGAGCCCGTTTCTTCATTGGCTGCCACCTCCTCCTTTTCTTTCTGAACTGCTTCCCCTCTGAACACCACAAGCCTTTTATGCAGGCTCCTCCCTCCCCCCACCAACCCTGGAGGGAGGCCCTGGGCTAGCACGGCAGATGTGACCCTGGAGGAACCCCTCTGACAAGGTCCCCTTTCCCTACTGCAGCAGAAACCAGCATTGCACCCCTCCCCTGCAGTGCTCACTCCACGTGAGGTGCCATTGGCTTAGCAGAACTCTAAGCCAGACTGCTGGGCACTGGTGCCAACAAGCATCTCATTGAGGTCAGGGAAGAACAAAACTCTACTTGTTTTCAAAGCCGTCTTTATTTTAAAATTTGCCTTAAAAAGCAACCAGACAGACAGAATTTATTCTCCTCTAGGGTAGGCATGCCAAAAGGTTTCTGAGCAGACATAGAAACAGTGGGATGCAAAACTGAGGCCGTTGCATAGACCTACCACTCCACTTTGGGTGAGTTGGGCAGCAGGACTCTGGATCAGTCCTTCCCAAGCACAGAGTTAAGGTGAGGATGAGGCTCTTCATCTGTGTCTGTTTCTTGGCCACATCCTAGCTCCGGAGTCCTGTGGTTCCTTGTCAGTGTTCTGTGAAAGTGGTATACACTCTGGACCAACATCAAAATAAAGGAGGCAGCCACATTTAAACAGGAAATATTTGCTCATTCTCTTTCTCCGTATTCTAAATTATACTCTTCTTTTGAGCCTCAGTGAACACTGCACCTCCTCCATGAAGCTCTTTCTATAAACTCTGTCTGCCTCCTCTCCTCTGTCTTCTTCAAGTCAGGAAATTTTTTTTAAAGTAGG